GATGTATACAATTTAGTTGCAGAAGGGATTTGGAGGTTATTAAGGCAGACTCATTATTTTACAAATAATAAATTTGAAGCTTCTTGATAATAAATCCCAAGATTCATTCATTCATTTAAAAAATATTAATTGGGCCGGGCGCGGTGGCTCATGCTTGTAATCTCAGCACTTTGGGACGCCGAGGTGAGTGGATCACCTGAGGTTGGGAGTTCGAGACCAGCCTGGCCAGTATGGAGAAAACCCCCGTCTCTACTAAAAATACAAAATTAGCTGGGTGTGGTGGCACATGCCTGTAATCCCAGCTACTCGGGAGGCTGAGGCAGGAGAATCGCTTGAACCTGGGAGACGGAGGTTGTGATGAGCAGAGATCCCGCCATTGCACTCCAGCTTGGGCAACAACAGTGAAACTCCGTTTTAAAAAAAATAAAATAAAGATAATAAGCAAATAAATAAATAAATAAAGTAGCTAGTATGAACCACAGATTTTTCTAGGCACTGAGGATAAAATAATTAACAAGCCCCTGCCCTGAAAGAGCTGACATGCTATTGACTTAATGTGTACATCGTTAGTGGAATAAAACATAGATCGGGAAGAATATAATCATATGTTCAAAATAGAAATGATTTTAATTGACATTGGAAATTACATTAAACATTTATGGTAATGATTGTTTTCTGCCGGAATTTTGTATTTAAAAAAGCTTGTAAATGAATGCAGATGCACCTCAAACAATTACCAATTTTTTTCAGAAAACCAAAATTATAGTAATGACTAAGTTTTTTTAAATGTGATTTGAACTTGGTATACAAAATCACTCATAAGAATTAGATGTCAGAGACTCATAGTTCACAGAAAAAGGAAATACAGCTTTTAATTTGTCACAAAGGAAAAAGAAAAGGTTAAAGCCAAAAGAAATTCCTGCCAATACTGCTAACATACTGGGAATTAAGAAGAATAAATGTTTGCTGAGACCTCCTTGGTTTTGAAGATAGGTCTCCATTTCCGTCTGAAGTAAATCAGACCAAGCACAAGGTGTATTGATGATCATGTGACAATGAGGCTAGACATAGTAGAAGCTGGCCACTCTGCAGTGGAGTGACAATGTGGAGGAAGGAAAAGTGCCCTCTTATATATCCTTCTTCAAATGGGCCTATCATTTTGAATTCACTGTGGCTCTATTATTGTTTTACAGACCTACAAGTCTCAAGGAAAAAATTCTGCTGAATATATGTTTGTAAATTGGAATTCTTTATACAATCACTAGGATGTGTAAAACTCTGTTATGGTGATTAAAAAATGATAACTCAATTAATTGGGTAGTCATTTGGTTTGTCCCTCTACTATGAAGTCCCTCTACTAATTTTAAACCTTTATCGTATACCCACTATGCCTTGATCTTAGAGGGAAATTATGACGTAATTCTTAAAATTTTACTTAACTATCCCTTTTCTTATCAGGTAAGTACTTTAATAAAATTATTTGCCATATACCTACTTATTATCCCTACCTCTAAGAAACGGAAGAACCCACGTATGAATTTAAAAGAATTTGTATAAATTTTTATTTTAGAATTTTTAGTCCCAAATTAAAATTGTGTAAACATGCAAAATTAGAACATGAATGAATTAAATGCTTACGAAAATCTTTAAATTAATGTTAGATCTCTACAATTGTGATGTGAGCTCAAGTGAATGAGCTTAAGTGGGCTTGATTAGCTGTGATTTATGAGGTGTGCCTTTTAAGCAACGTAGGTTCCTTGAAATTGATAAGCATTTGAGCAGCAATTAAGGAGTAACCAGACATTAAGCTAAATCCAGTTTAAAAACGATTATATATATTCAGTCACAGTATGCCTGAAAAATAACTTTTGAGCCCAATATATTGCTTTGTATTTTCCCTAAGCATTCTAATATTAAATCATATTGTGCATTGAGATGAATTTAGTGGGTGATATATTTATTTGGGGAGAGGGAGAGAATCTGTGGTAAAAAGACTCAACATATGTGATATTCTAACAACTGCACATGGTGAACTTTCTAGAATATTAGTAATGCTGGCACATATAATGACTCTGATAAACTACGCCAAAAGAGTAAATGTACCTGTGTTGGCAACTTTAGTGTAAGTCTTCACCAATTTCATTAAAGTATGAGATTGGTCATATTGCGATCATACTGTGATTGTGAAATCTTCAATGGCAACAATACTGCTGCTACTTCTGCTACTGCTGATATGGTAAAAAGAATGGTGATGCTTGCACTTCACTGGCATTTACAAAACCAGTAAGATAATATCTTACTTATATATGTGATTTGTAACTCCCTTCATGTAGAATGACTTTAACTGGAATTACCTGGATTTCTCTCCCTCTATCTCTATGTGAAGGAATTAAAAATATACACAATTTTGGAGCTTGTAATTATTACTGTAATGTTAGAACAACTAATACCATCTGGGCAGTGCTGATTAACTTTCAAAGTAAATAAGCACTGTGCCATTCAACATTGTTGATGTCTTCCTACCAAAAATGCCCTTCTCATTAAACAATGAGTAGAAGGATCACTGGAAGTGCTTTATTTAGGAACCTATAATAACAAGCATGAGAGCACAAAGTTGTAAGAAAATCTACTTTGAAGAACAGTGTGACGCTGAGTGGCTAAGAAATATAATTAGACACTTGGCAAACAATCTTTAAATCCACTTCATAGATCTCTATTAACTTTGAGAGTTTATTTGTAAAGTATTTTACTTCTAACTGTTGCTTAGATTCGCAAATGAAAAATGTATAGCAATCTTGTCTTTATATGTCATACACAACCTAGTAGAATGTCTTTCCTAGTCATAGCCATTAAATATGTGTGTTCCTATATTAAATCGAATACCCCTCTTGTATATATTATGTAGTCTATTTTTCCTCCTAAGGGGAGGAAAATATTCTCGCAATTGTTTTAGGCTAATTTTCTCACTTTTTATTCCCAAGGGGAAAAGTTCAAAAGGAATTCAGACTACAACTACTTCTTGTGGTGATTAGGAAAAACTGAGAACCATTCCTACAATTCATATACTGTATTTTATCTGAAACTGATATAGTTGTGCATTTTGGACAGATTTAGAAGTTGGGATTTGGTTTCTAATTTTCACATATTTTCCTCATTACTAGCCAATCTGAGACCCGGGCAACCCCTATTTGGTGTGTGATCACAAAAGGGCAGGAAAGAGGAAAATCAGTAGTTTTATTCACAGCATCAACTGTTCAATTACCAAAGCACAGTCTTCAAACTTAAATACTCTCATTTCGTCCAGCGTAGCCTCTTCTCTCAGTGTTACCTTTAGCACGTGTGTCACTAAAGACGTTTCAGAAAAGCTTACCTAATATCACCACAGAGGACTCTGAGGTCACACTATACTGGTCTTTACCTCATACTTAGCAACGATACACACGACACAGAATACAACATGCCCACCAGTGCCTTCCACTGAGTTTCATACACTCCTAGGAATTTAACACCTACTGAACGAATGGAAATGATTATCAGTTGTGTTTATACACTGACAATATTTTAAAGTTTTCCGTTCCAGGGTCCAAACAGCCGCATCTCTTCAAGCTCTGCCAAGTGCAGACAGAGCCCCCTTGGCTCGCGTTGCTGTGGATCAGAGAATTCCAAATCCTGCAGCTACTCATGTGAACGACGGAACGTAAAAGCTAACCTAAACCCATTCCCGCTTCCCGCTTGGCTTTGACGCAGGGGTAGTGGTGGAGAGGATTCACTAAATGTGCCCAGCTTTGCTCCCTCCCAGCACGCAGGGCTCCATGTTGTCCTGCTCTACCCCGAGCCTGGCTGTTCAGCTCTTGTTGCCCTGACTACCTTCAACGCTTAAAATTCCGCCAGGAGATCAAAATGACAGGAAAAGCAAAGGGAAAGAACCTACAGAAGGAATGGCAACCTTCCAGCCGAAAAATCCCGAAAGCAGTGTTTTTTGACTCCTAGTGCAACAAGTGACCCTCCCAACGGCTCTCGAAACCACGCAGCCCGCAACTCGGAGATCCACCTCTTGTGCGCCCGAGCAGCACAGCAGGCTGGACACACCAACCTTTTCCCCAATGGTGACCCAAACAGTGACTCGGATTTGATTCTTTCCACCCCCAAGCCTTGAGGAAAATCCACTTGAGACTTTTTTTCCATCTCCAGATTTCCGACGGTCGATATCCTCCTCCATCCAGCCCACTTCCTAGTTTCCTGAAGGGTAGGGAGGACGTCTGTGAGTTGGATGTATGAGAGCGTGCGTGTGCTAGGGAGTTTAAACGTTTCCCCTGTCTTCCACTTCTTCGATATGTGCTCTGAGCTTTAGGTGTCGCCTCACAAATGGGATCAATAATCCCTGCTCTTTTACCAACTTTGTCATGAAACCCTAGAAAATCATATATATTAAAAGGGCTTTAGAAATTGTCAAGTACCCGAAAGGTTGCAGCCGCGAGTTACCTCGGAGGCCAAGGCAGCCACCTCCGCAAGGGAGTTCTGCGTCCAAGCATAGATTGTCCGTCCCGCCTGGCCCCCATCAAAAAGGCCGGGACCAGAGGCTGGTGAACGAGCGAGAGCAGCCCCAGTCCCACAGGTGAGCCGCCCCCACAAGCAGCCGAGCCGCGAGCCTTCCCGGCGCAGTCACCGCCCGCACTCACCTCTCCACTCCGGGAGCGAGATGGGAGGCGTGGGAGAGCGCCGAGAGGCGCGGCGAGCCTGGGAGCGGGAGACGGCGCCGGGAGGCGGGAAGCGGACCAGAGAATGGGAGAAGCCCTGCAGGTGGACAGGGGGGAACAAAACCCAAACGCCCCACCCTCGAAATCGCCAGGAGCTGAGCGAAGGAGGGAGCGAGGTAGGAAAGCGCGGCGCCCCAAATATGCCCCGGGAGCGGCGCGGGAGGCGCAGAACCCCGGAGCTTGCAGCCGAGCGCGCGGGGTCCCAGCGGAGCGCGAGGAGGCCAGCGGAGCCCTCCCGGTTACCTGTGCTGCCTCCGCCCTGGCTGCCCCTGTCCCGAGGGAAGATGCCCAAGCACTTCTCCCATTCCACCTGGCCCGCGAAGCACAGCTCGGTGACGATGTGCAGCGCCTTCTGGCACAGACCGTTCACTCCGTCCTCCTTGTGGAAACTCATCGTTTGGCTTTTCTTTCGTTTTCTCTTTTTTCCCCCAGTTAGCCGTCTTTTCTTCTTCCCGACCTCTAGACTAACCCCTCGGGCGTCCTAAGCCATAGTCCGCCTGCCGTGACTTTAGCTGGAGAGCGCGCAGCTGAGAGTGGGCAACTCTTAGGAGCCCCACGTTAGTCCCATAGCGGGAGCGGAGGGCGCAGGGGAAGAAGAGGCGCGCGAGGAGGCTGCGGCTGCGGCGAGGTTTGCGCCAACTCTCCCGCCGCGCGAGCGAGCTGAGGCGAGCTGGAACTAGAGACCCGGCATGGAGTGCTGAGGGGAGGGGGGAGCCGTAAAAAAACCAAAGCCCTAGACTCGCAAGCACGCCCCCCTCCTCCCCCCAGCACACTGGTGTTTCTGGCGGGTGCCTGGCGGCGACGCGTCCAATAGCAGCCCGGCGCGGGCGCGGGGTGACTGGCGGCAGAGCGCGCAGACCCAGCTCCCCGCGTCCTCCGGAGAACGGACTCGCGAGGGAGGGCTGGCGGTCCGGCGACCCTGCCGAGGCCGGAGTTGCTCATCGTTGCCCAGAGCTGGCCCGAGGAGCCCTCTCCGTTTTCCCAGTACTTTTCCCTGCATCAGTGCAGCCATCCCCGCCGCCTTTGTCTCTCCAACTTTTCCACGCATGTATTCTACTTTTTGTGCTATCTGCTTCTGCCCTTCTGGAAAAGTCATCCCAATCGAAGAAAAACTGAAAAAGTTAATTTAAAAAAATGAATGCATGAATAAGCAAACCCTCTTAGGTAGATCACAAAATAAAATGTTATTTGTACTAATAATCAGATAAGATTCTGTTGATTAATCCGTAATTGGAGATTGAGAATGCACAACTTGACTCTCTCCATCTACTTTCTTAGCGACTTAAAACAAGACATGGGTGTTAAAGGGAACAGGATTAAGTTCAAATCTGTCACATACCTCAGCCTAACCTTGAAGCTGCTTTCAGGTCTTGGTGTTCCTCCCACTTCAGCCTCCCTAGTAGCTAGGACTCCAGGGACTCCAGGCGCCATTTTTTAAAAAATTTATTGTGAAGACAGGGATCTCACTATGGTGCCCTGGCTGGTCTCGAACTCCTTTGCTCAATCAATCCTACCGCCTCAGCTTCCCAAAATGCTGGTATTACTGGCACTAGCCACCGTGCCCGGCCTGCTTTCGGGTCTTTGCCTGAGTCTGTGAAATGGGAGATGAAATGGGAGATTTTTTTTTTTTTTTTTTTTTTTTTTTTTTTTATGAGAGGGAGTCTTGCTCTGTCACCCAGGCTGGAGTGCAGTGGCCGGATCTCGGCTCACTGCAAGCTCCGCCTCCCGGGTTTACGCCATTCTCCTGCCTCAGCCTCCCAAGTAGCTGGGACTACAGGCGCCCGCCACCTCGCCCGGCTAGTTTTTTGTGTTTTTTAGTAGAGACGGGGTTTCACCGTGTTAGCCAGGATGGTCTCGATCTCCTGACCTCGTGATCCGCCTGTCTCGGCCTCCCAAAGTGCTGGGATTACAGGGAGATTTTGATTCGGATGTCTTAAGCTCACCTATTCTTATAATTCTTTAATGCAAATGCGTGCAAATCACTAGAACTAAAGCGACAAAATAAAATTAATAAACACGGGCTTCAGGATATAATAATGTGTTTACATGGTTTTTAAACTGTTTTCGGGCGGAGTTTCATCCCATATCATAACCTGAGGATTGATTTAACCCTCTTGTGATGAGGGATTCTTTATTTTTGAAGTGGGATGTATTGAACTTGTTGGCATGTCTATACTAGTAGAATAAGTAGTCTTTTTTAAAAACAGCTAATCAGTTCATGGTAAATTATTTCCTTTGCACGGGCACTATGGTAAACCTACTTAAATATTAGCCATAGCACTCCAGTAGGGAAGCATTCATTAGTTGAATAATTTTGACCTGATCCATAGGATAATTGGTTTAACTAGGACTATTTTTTACCATGAATTGAGACAAACTAAAATCTGCAGTCTCTATCTGAGTTTTGTTTTTATGCACACTGACTTGGGTGGTTTTTCAGTCATTGTCTAAAGAAATAATTTCACTGTCAATCAAAAAAAATTAAACATCTACTGTATCTACAAAGTTAAGTAACACATTTTAATAAGGCCCTTTCCAATTGCCTTTTGCCCCCCATTCTGCTACAGTCTACACAGACAGACTGGTAGAAAACAACCTGCAACGCAATGCTGTACTCTCGTATTTACCATATGAACTAATTGCTGTGTAGGAGGACCAAATGAGTAATTATCTTTATACTACTTACAGAATCGAATTGCTTAAGTGGAGTAATGCAGAAGATCTTCCTAATGACCCTCTTGTGTTTGATTTCAGCGTTAAATATTAAGTAAACAAATTCTGAAAACAACTTTCCTGGTATTTGTTTATGCTGTTCCTGGCCTTACTGTTGTGTTTTCACAACAAGCAGAGTTAATTTCACTTGGATATTCGATTTTCTGAATTCATTTCTCTGAAAAAAAATTTATTTCATCTAAAATGAATATCACAGGTTTTGATTTTTTTCTTTGTTCTTTGGACTGTCTCACAGCTCATTAGCAGGTGAATCAAAACAGTTTTTTTATTTTTTGTCACTAACTAAAAGCTCAGGCAAGAATTTTGGGCAAAGTAAAAACTGCATTGAAGATCATCTTTTTCAATGCTGAAGGATAAGATGACAAGAATTTCAACTTTCAGTCTTTAAATTTTTTTTCCAACTATTTCAACTACCAAGAACCTAAAAAGTCAACCAAGAAATACAGATTTGTATTTACTTCCCCACTCACACTGTGAAGGAATTGGTGAAATAGTAAAAGGAGAGGAGTGCAGGTTAGACTGATATTTACTGAGCACTGTAGGCTGTGCTAAGTACTATAGTAGCCATTGTTAGTCAAAAAAAATGCTGGCTGTAATGATCTCTGTCACAGCTTCCTTCTGGATGACCTCTAAGTTATGTAGAGGAGGGACTGGTTTGGAAATAAGGAGCCCAAGAAAAACCCACGTGAGCTAAGCATATCTGTTTAAGTGACAATTTTAAACATTCAAAACTCTGTGATTTCCCTACTTGCTCAATCCTCTTCCAATTTCTTCTTCCTCTTTCTCATTCACATCGTGGAGGAGTGAGAGTTAGCTTGTTAGGCAGAGATCTCCCTAAGGTGAGGGGAACTTGGGAATCACTCTAAGACTCTAATTTTAAATATTATTTGACCTCCAAGACAGGAACTAAGAGAGTGGGTAAATGAAGAAACTTCAGAGCAGCTAAGCTTAGTCTGAATGCAGATCACAGAAAATTATTAAATTTTAACTTACTTAAAGTGTTACTGCTTTCCTTTTTTGTATTTTATTGGCAGCTCAGATTCATAACATCCCAGTTGTAACTTTCTGTATACACTTGGGGCCGCTCCTGTATTCCTCAATTCAGAAAATGGAATTGCCACTCACTCCCCGCTGGTGATGATGATGACCAAACTTCTGGCTTGCACAGAAGGGTGTCCGTACTAAGAAGTCCAGTTCTGACTCCAGATCCTTCCTTCCTTCCTTCCTTCCTTCCTTCCTTCCTTCCTTCCTTCCTTCCTTCCTTCCTTCCTTCCTTCCTTCCTTCCTTCCTTCCTTCCCTCCCTCCCTCCCTCCCTCCCTCCTTCCTTCCCTCCCTCCCTCCCTCCCTCCCTCCCTCCCTCCCTCCGTCCCTCCCTTCGTCCCTCCCTTCCTTCCTTCCTTTTGACAGAGTTTTGCTCTTATTGCCTAGGCTGGAGTACAATGGTTCGATCTCAGCTCATTGCACCCTCTGCCTCCCTGGTTCAAGCGATTCTCCAGCCTCAGCCTCCAGAGTAGCTGGGATTACAGGTGCCCGCCACCACGCCCAGCTAATTTTTTGTATTTTTAGTAGAGGCAGGGTTTCACCATGTTGGCCAGGCTGATCCTAAATTCCTGACCTCAGGCGATCAGGCCACCTTGGCCTCCCAAAGTGCTAGGATTACAGGCAGTAGCCACTGTCCCCAGGCCTCCAGATCCTTTTAATACAACCCAATTCATCACTCTGGAAGATTTGGTGTCTTCTCTTTTTCCATTATGTTCAATTTGTTCATTTTTCCTGATGGATACCCAGTGAGCATTTCAATCTGAGACTCAGTTTTGAGTTCTTCAATTCTGAGAAATTCTATTGATTTATTCCTTCAGTAATGTTCTAACTTCCATTTTTTCTGTGCAGTCCCTCACTAGAACTCCTTCTTTGTTGGATTTTTGACTATCAGGACTAAATTTCCAATTTTCACTTCTCTTCTATTTTCCATTTTTGTCACCCTACTCCTTGTGCTCTAATTTTGGGGAGATTTCCTTGACGTTGTCCTCTGAGCCTTCTATTAAACTACTACAATTTCATGTCTTACAGTTCTAAGATCTGCACACTTTTTGGGTTAGTGATTATTTTTTCTTATTTCATGGATGCAAAATCTTTTCTTCTTTCTCTGACCATATTCATTATGTATATTTAACACCCTTTCACCCTCGTTTCAGTCTTGTCATCTTTTTCTCTGAATAATTCTTTTTGTTGTTGTTGTTCTGTTCTTTATGTTGGAGGATTTTTTCTCAGGTGTCTGCTGATCCCTGGGCTTCCATTTAAAAACACTGTAATATGGATTTGCAGGACCAAGTGCATCAGTAAGACATAGAACCAGTGAGCATCACTGAAGGGCAATTCAGAACCGAGCTGTATTTTTAACTGGAACACCCCCAAATATCAGTATCAACAGCTTTATTCTCTGGAGTGATTAAATTCTTTTCAGAGAGGGACTATCTAGTCTCTCACCAGGGATGTAAAGGTAGTAATTAAAATCTGCCTACTTTTACTTAATCCTCCTTCTTCAGTATGTCCCCTGACTCTGTCCTCTTTTGGGTCTGATATCTGGGATCTAGAGCCTTTCAAGGTTAATATTTCTGGGCAAAATAAAACACAAAAAACAAACCTATTTTATTTACAATTTGGGGAAGGGTAATAATTAAGGATGTGTGGGTGGAGACTTGAGCTTCAAGACATCTTAAGAATTACATTGACCCCCAACCCCTGCCTTTTTAACCTCTTGTCTTACCTCCACCTTCTTCAGAATGAATATGAGGTGTCTCCATCTCTATTTTTTTCTGGGTCTTTCTGGGGTGAATCACTAGCTTCTCATTGCTGTCTGCCTCTAGAGGTTTAAGCTCTCTCTGCTTAGCAAGTTAGTGACTGCTTCTTCACCGACTTCCATCTTCTAAACCTATTAACATCTTTTGTCTTTTTAGTCTTTTTGTTCTTTGCGGTTTATAGCCTTTTATTGCTTTACTGTCATTACAGTGTCATTTCAGGAGCAGGAACACAAGCACGCAAGTTCTTAATTTATCATGTTTAGCTATTTAAAA